GCCTGGTGATTGTCTGAGGTTTGAAACCTTCTGGTGAAGCTGAAGCCACTTCTTAAAAGCCTGGATAATGCTGTGAGCTGCTTAAGCACCTGTGTGCACATGTGTGTAAGTGTGTGTCTTTGCCGTGTGTGAGCTGCTTAAGCACCCATGTGCACACATGTATGTGTGCCTTTGCCGTGTGTATGCATGTGTGTGAGCTGCTTTAGCACCTGTGTGCACACATGTGTGTGTGCGTTTGCCATGTGTATGCGTGTGTGTAGTTTGCAGCTGAGTGCACTGCTTTTGTCTGGACTGTGCCCAGGAGGGAATGCGACACCCTTGGGGTCCTTGCCTTTGAAGCTGATCTGTTGTGGCAGCCAATTCAGCATGTTCAGCAAGATGTTAAAGCCATTGCTCTGCTTTACTCCCAGGGTCTCACAGCCAGAGCAGGCCAGAGGTGAGGAAGGGGATCCCACGCCTCCTTCATCTCCTCCGTCTCCTTGCCTTCCTAAACAGCTCTGTTTTCCACTGAAAAGGGAGCTGCAGAGCATTTCCGCGTGGAGATTCCATCTCGTTCGTGTCCAGCTCCATCAGGGAACTGCTCTCAGGCTCCCCCGGGCGTGTGCATGAGGTTGGAAGAGGCGGGTCACTGCAAGAATGTGTCAGTCTGTCTCGTCACTCTCTCAATGTCTGGTCTCATGGTATTCCTTACCAATTTAGGGACTTATTAGGGAGATAGCCATAATTGTATTGATAGATACACGTCATGAACCAGTTCCCCTTAGGTGTTTCTAAAATGGTGTAAATTACCAAGGAAATATCCTTTGGTTAAAGTTCACTGTTTTCTGGTCTTGCATTGTTAGCATAGACTGCTGTCTGCTGCCTGCTCTCTGTGCCATTTCTATTTCATGTAACTTACTGAGGTTTTCTTTGTGCCCTAATACAAGCTAGTTTTTTTTTTAATGAATGTTTCAAGTATGTTTAAGAAGAAAGTATAATCTCTATTATTGGGGTACAAAGTTTGATGTAATGTCCCCAAGAACTACCTCCTGTTATTAGCTCTCTTTCATGTTTAATTATTTTTGACCCTTTACCTTGCCATGGTTGACAGTCATGTGTTAATGATTGCTATTCTTAGGTTTCTGTTTCTTTCCCCAACACCTATAGTTTCTGCATTATAAAGCCAGCTTCTGTGTTTGGGGATTCTAGTAGATTCTTAACTCATATGGCCTCACTGTGCGCTGGGTCCTCCAGCTTCTGTGTTTGGGGGTTCTAGTAGATTCTTAACTCATATGGCCTCACTGTGCGCTGGGTCCTCCAGTTTCTGTGTTTGAGGGGTTCTAGTAGATTCTTTTTTTTTTTTTTTTTTTTGAGACGGAGTCTCGCTCTGTCGCCCAGGCTGGAGTGCAGTGGCCGGATCTCAGCTCACTGCAAACTCCGCCTCCCGGGTTTATGCCATTCTCCTGCCTCCGCCTCCTGAGTAGCTGGGACTACAGGCGCCCACCACCTCGTCCGGCTAGTTTTTTGCATTTTTTGGTAGAGACAGGGTTTCACCGTGTTAGCCAGGATGGTCTCGATCTCCTGACCGATCTGCCCGTCTCGGCCTCCCAAAGTGCTGGGATTACAGCCTTGAGCCACCACGCCCGGCCGGTTCTAGTAGATTCTTAACTCATATGGCTTGACTGTGCACTGGGTCCTCCGGCATCAGGAAGTGCCCTTCTTGGTCTTGCTTCCTGCTTTAAGGGGAGGCTGGACCTTGTCTGACAGGCAGATTGCAACCCCTGCTCTTCAGCCTGGTGCATTGACCTCATGTGCTTCTGCTCATTCCTTGACATTTAGCCTTTTCAAATCACTTGGCAATGGTCGTGTCTCTTGTGTAAAGCAGAGCTGGCTTTGTGAGCCAAGTGGAGACTTTTCATAGGGCCACGTGTTGCACGTGTTTACTCACGTGTTGCTAGGACCGGTATGTCCTGTCCCAACTGCCGCATAACTTGTTCCTGTATTTAATGTGTGTGTTGTGTTTTATTTATTGTGCGTCTTTTTATTTTTTAATGTAGTTTGTGTCTTTGCCTTTTTTTTTCTATTGTTTTTGGCATTTAGGAAAGTCTATGTTTTGTCCTGTTGGCTACTGTTATAACAACACCTCTTATCGCACCTTGGTCCCTCTCTTTCTTCCTCTGACCTCTTTATTTTGGCTTGTCTGGTGGGATTCTTTTCTCCCACCTATTTTTCATGCTTCAGTCTATGAGCTTATTCTACATTCCTTTTTTTCTGATTCATCTACCTCTGATTTATTTGCTGTATTTTTACTTTTGCAGAACAGCATGCTCCCCGATAAGAAACTGTTTCGTACCCCACCTCCATCCTTGTCCTCACTTTCTGTTTTAGTCTGTGCTCAACAGATTTGTTATTTTTGTTTATGTCAGATTTCCCAGCGGTCTCTTGGCTTGAGGGAGATTCTTTTGTAGTAGGTTTCTCATGAAGGGCCTGGAAACACACTGTTCATTGAGTTCTTAGCTATTTAAAACTATTTCTCTAGAGCTTTAATTTTGAAGGACAGCTTGGCTGACATAAAATCCTTTGGTCACACTTTATTTTTACTTGAGTTTATGAAAATAATTGCTCCACTGTTCACTTACCTTGTACATTGCAGTCAGGAAGTCCGATCCCTGTCTGATTTTCTTTCCTTTGTGAATGAGCTGGTCTTTTTGCCTAGAGTCCCAAAGAATTTTTTCTTTCAGTTGTAATCGTTACTGGGCAGTGCCTTCAGGGCCACCGTTCTGGGTCAGTTTGTTCAGGTACATGATGAGCCTTTCAACTTGTCGATTATTTTTTTCCTAAGAACATTTCTAGGAATGTAAGTATTAGGTCTGTTTCGTAGTTTTGCTTTTCTTTTTTGGGAACTCCAGTCTGTGTTTCTCGGGTCTTTGTTGGCCTGGGCTCCATGTCTGGCAACTTCTCTGCATGTCTCTCACCTCTTGGTCGGCCTCATGTTCTCTTTCATGTTCTCTGTCCTCCTGCAGTGTTCCTTATGCAGTCGTTACCGGTAGAGGGTGTCCAGGTGGCATCTCGAACAAAGCATTGGACAAAACGCACAAACAAAGCAAGAAAGCAAAAGCAAGGTTTTATTGAGAACGAAAGTACATGCTATGGTGTGGGAGCAGCCTAACCCTTGGGGCTCAGGAGCTTACAGAATTTTCTGGGGTTTCAGTACTCTAGAGGTTTCCCACTGGTTACTTGGCGAATATTCTATGAAAATGAAGAGAATGAATTGAAGTCAGAGTCATTTACTCAGAACGCACCCTATGTAAATGGAGAGGATGTTACTTGGAGTGTGTGGTCTGTGTAAATGGAGAGGCTGCATGTGAAGTTACAAAGGGTAAGTGCTGTGAACTGAGAGGATGGAGTGCAGTTGCAAAGCCGTTCACATCCCTGTCATTGCTGAGGAGCTTCCATTTGATTTAGTTCTAGGAAGTCAGCCTGGATGGATCGGCCTTCTGTTCCCTGCCTCCTTCTGTTCTCCTGCCTCACACTCAACTGAATCTCTCTCTTTTGGTACCTTGTAACTTAGTCTCATTTCTAGGCTGATTGTGTCATTCTCTTTAATTTCTTTCTTAGGTTAAATTAATTCTCATTTCGCAGTTTCTTATTTTAACTGTGCGTTTGTATTCTTGGTATTTTTAGTGTTTCGTTTCTGGTGTTTCTTACATCTGCACAGCTTTTCCCCATTTGACTTTGGACTGCGGTGCTGGGCGGGAGTTCTCAGTTTCATTAGCTGAAGGAGTTTCAGTGCCTACACCCTGGTTTCCTCTCCCAGAGCCACGATGGCCTTCAGGAGTGTCTGCGACTGGAGAACATCATTTACCCAAAAGGATTTTGCATGCCTTTTTTCTATTTATTTTAAAAGCACTTGGATTTTCCTGCACTAGCAGTAACAGATGTTTCTAGCCGGGAACGGACGTGCCGAGGGACACGGGTGCTTTACTAGGTTTGTTTGTCCAATAGCATCCTTTTTTGGTCAGCAGAAACGTAGGTTTTTTTAAGAAAAAAACTGAATGGTTCATTTGGAGATGGATTAAATCTGTGTCTTCTTATGCCTTGCTGTGCTTTTATTTCTGTAGGAAACGTAATTTCTACCTTTTCCATCCCTCCATCCCTTTTTCTTCCAAGGTTCCAAATGTGCTTTTTTTTTAGACGGAGTCTCGCTCTGTCACACCCAGGCTGCAGTCTGTCACACCCGCTCTGTCACACCTGCTCTGTCACACCCGCTCTGTCACACCCGGTCTGTCACACCCGCTCTGTCACACCCAGGCTGCAGTGCAGCGGCGCCGTCTCAACTCACTGCAACCTCTGCCTCCTGGGTTCAAGCAAGTCTCCTGCCTCAGCCTCTGGAGTAGCTGGGATTACAGGCGCCCGCCACCACGTCTGGCTCATTTCTTATATTTTGGTAGAGACGGGGGTTTCACCATGTTGCCCAGGCTGGCCTCAAACTCCTGACCTTAAGTGATCCTCCCGTCTTGGCTTCCCAAAGTGCTGGGATTACAGGCATGAGCCACCACATCCAACCTCAAATGTGCCTTTTTTTCCCAAGTCTCTCCTCTAAGACCATGCTGAAATTGAAGAAATTAGATGGAATTTGTTCACTATCAGTGAAATTAGAAAACCAGCCATATATTTAAATTAATGTATAATTTAATAAATATTGTTTTAAAATCAGTGTAGATATAAGCAGATACACTAAGTAAGTGCAATTTTATCAAAACATTTCATGTGGACGTCTCACTTGTGAAGTAGAAGCCTGCCTTTGGGTTGAGCCATCTCATTTGGGGTGCTGGGGGGAAGAGCACCGGGGGAGCGCTTGCTGGCACTCCGTCTCCACACTCACACCATGCCTTGTACTCGAATGCTGAAGAGGTGTTGACTGCTGTGTTGAAGGCAAGAGGCAGTTCTGTTGAAGCCCAGTGCTGGCGGGCAGGCCCCGCACTGATGCACTCACACAGCCCTGTGTTTTTGTGTTTTAGGTCGGTGGGCTCCACGACAAAAGTCAACCCTTCTGTAAATCACCTGCTGTGGTTATGATGCTCTGAGTTCAATACGTCTGAACCTTTGCTGTCTATGGATCTGCTCTAAACCTTATAGCCTGCTTATGGGGGAAGGTGAGTTACTGTCTTTTGTTGGCATATTTGTTTACCAAGAGTGTATATAACAAAGTCAGACTTACCCTTGACAAATGAAATCTGTTTGAAGTAACACAGTGCTGTATTTCACCCTGCTTCAGTCCACAATGTGCCCTGAAGACTATTCTGTGTATGACTTTGGGAAATCGGGGATCCCCGCTTTTGGTAGCAGTGAGCAGTGAGCTGGACACCTTTGGGTCCAGTGCTCGGCCAGGTGGTTCTTGCACAGCCTTCCAGCTCTGCCCTGGAGCCAGCCCTGAGAAGCAAGGGAGGCACGGGTTTCAGGAATGAAGGACAAGAAGGCGGTTCTGGGGGCTGAAGATCGTCCTGAGGTGTTTGGAAAGAGTGAGTAATGAAAGCATCAGGAGTGGGGGTGCTGTTTTGGTGGTCTGGTGATACCCTGCAGACATTAGTGCCTGTAGCTTGAGCTGTTACCATGAACTTCTATTGATACAATTGCAAGGAAAGGTGGATGAATGAGCAGTTGTGTTTGGAGATTTTAACACATCCCTCCAAGAAGTAGGTCAACAAAAAATAAGCAGGAGTATTAATATCTGAAGCAATATAATAAATAAGTTTGAGTTGTTAGTATATTTTGGACTCTACATGTTACTTTCTAAGCATACAGAGAACATGTACAATACTAGGATGTATACAGGTGAAGTCTGTAACATAGGGATGTATGTGTACAGGTTACATCTGTCTATAATACAGCATGTGGAGAGCATAAGGCAATTATACTGGAAATTAATAGTAAAGGAATAGCTTATATAAATAATATGCTATAAAAACTCTTGTTAGAAATAAAATCATAAAAGAAATAAAAGAACTTTAGGGCTGAGTGATTATGAAGCAGTATATGTCTAAATAGCACGACACAGCTAAAGCAGTGCTTAGAAGGACATTTATAGCTATAAACACATGTGTTAAGAAACATGAAAAATTAACTCAAGAGGCGGAAAAAAGAGCAAGGGAGAAAGCCCAAGGATCTATAAGGCAGGAAATAATAAAGGAAAGGGCAGAAATCCATGAAATAGAGAGCACAGAAAAACACAGAGAAAATTAACAGCCCTAAAAGCTGTTTTGTGTTTTAGAGTCAATAGTTAGATCTCTGGTTAAAGAAAGTGGAAAGGGCTGGGCACTGTGGCTCATGCCTGTAATCTCAACAGTTTGGGAGGCCGAGATGGGCAGATCAAGAGGTCAGGAATTCGAGACCAGCCTGGCCAACATGGTGAAACCCTGTCTCTACTAAAATACAAAAATTAGCTGGGCGTGGTGGTGCATGCCTGTAATCCCAGCTACTCGGGAGGCTGAGGCAGGAGAATTGCTTGAACCCAGGAGGAGGAGGTTGTAGTGAGCCAAGATTGTGCCATTGCACTCCAGCCTGGGCCATGGAGTGAGACCCCATCTAAAAAAAGAATAAGAAAGAAAGTGGAGGGGTGATACTGGTGACAATTAATGGAACAGAATATAGGAAGGAGTGAATGAGTGAATAAATAAAAATAAATGTAGATGGATGGGTGGATGGATGGATAGATAGATAGATAGATAGATAGATAGATAGATAGATAGGGAAAGAAATAACCATAGATACAGCCAAGAAGAAAAGTTAGAGTACTGTGGGAAACCATATGCGAACACATTTGAAAACGTAGGTGAAAAGAAACTACCATCAGAGTGAACAGGCAACCTACAGAATGGGAGAAACTTTGCAATCTACTCATCTGACAAAGGACTAATAACCAGAATCTACAAAGAACTCAAACAATACAAGAAAAAAACAAATAACCCCATCAAAAAATGGGCAAAGGATATGAACAAACACTTCTCAAAAGAAGACATTTATGCAGCGCACAGACACATGAAAAAATGCTCATCATCAGTGGCCATCAGAGAAATGCAAATCAAAACCACAGTGAGATACCATCTCACACCAGTTAGAATGGCGATCATTAAAAAGTCAGGAAACAACAGGTGCTGGAGAGAGGATGTGGAGAAATAGGAACACTTTTACATTGTTGGTGGGACTGTAAGCTAGTTCACCCATTGTGGAAGACAGTGTGGTGATTCCTCAAGGATCTAGAACTAGAAATACCATTTGACCCAGCCATCCCATTACTGGGTATATAAACAAAGGATTATAAATCATGCTGCTATAAAGACACATGCACACATATGTTTATTGCGGCACTGTTTGCAATAGCAAATACTTGGAACCAACCCAAATGTCCATCAATGACAGACTGGATTAAGAAAATGTGGCACATATACACCATGGAATACTATGCAGCCATAAAAAAGGATGAGTTCATGTCCTTTGTAGGGACATGGATGAAGCTGGAAACCATCATTCTCAGCAAACTATCACAAGGACAGAAAACCAAACATGGCATGTTCTCATAGGTGGGAGTTGAACAATGAGAACACTTGAACATAGGGTGGGGAACATCACATACCGAGGCCTGTTGTGGGGTCGGGGGCTGGGGTGACGGATAGCATTAGGAGATATACCTAGTGTAAATGACGAGTTAATGGGTGCAGCAAACCAACATGGCACATGGATGCATATGTAACAAACCTGCACGTTGTATACATGTACCCTAGAACTTAAAGTATAATAAAAAATTAATAAATCAAAAAGAAAACACTAATCTATCTCACTAGGAACAAAATACTACTTATCAATAAATTATCACTAAGTATAAAAAAAAGAAAATGTAGGTGAAACTGGTAACTTCCTGGGAAAATAGGAAGTGCAAAAATAGACTTGAGAAGAAATAGAGAACTTGGATAAGCCAACAATACTAAAGAAATTTAAGTGACAATCAAAGATTTCCATTCAAAAAAAGTTCTCAGACACATTTTTGTGGATGAATTATACCTAACTTGAAGGAACACTTGATTTCTAACTTACACAGATTGTTTCAGAAAATAGATAATAATTCTCCCCAGTCCTGAGGCTGAAAGAAGAGAGGCTGGTCCACAGGTATGAAGTTACGGTTAGACAGGAGTAAATTCTGGTGTTCTGTTAACAATAGGGTGACTATAGCTAATAATAATGTGTCTGTCCAGATAGCTGGAAGGCAGGATTTTGAATGTTATCACAAAATCATAAATGTTTACAGTGATGGATATGCTAATTTCCCTGGTTTGATCATTATATAACATACATGTATTGAAACATTATACTGTATCCTATAAATATATACAACTATTTTTTTTTTTTTTTGAGACGGAGTCTCACTCTGTCCCCCAGGCTGGAGTGCAGTGGCCGGATCTCAGCTCACTGCAAGCTCCACCTCCCGGGTTTACGCCATTCTCCTGCCTCAGCCTCCCGAGTAGCTGGACTACAGGCACCTGCCACCGCGCCCGGCTAATTTTTTGTATTTTTAGTAGAGACGGGGTTTCACTGTGGTCTCGATCTCCTGACTTTGTGATCCGCCCGCCTCGGCCTCCCAAAGTGCTGGGATTACAGGCGTGAGCCACCGTGCCCGGCCATATGTACAACTATTATGCGTCAATTATAAATAAAGCTTAAAAAAATCTGATGACTTCAAAGGTTGAGTAAGGGGCCATGAGGCAAGGAATATGGCCTGGAAAAGACAAGGGAAAATTTCCCCAAAGTCTTCAGAAGGAACACAGCCCTGCAGCCACCCTGACTTTTGTTCAGAAGGAGCACAGCCCTGCAGCCACTCTAACTTTTGTTCAGAAGACACAGAGCTCTGTGGACAACCTGACTTTTGTTCAGAAGGAACACAGCCCTGCAGCCACTCTAACTTTTGTTCAGAAGGAACACAGCCCTGCAGACACCCTGACTTGTCTAGTGAGATCTGATTCAGACCTCTGACTTCCAGAAATAGAAGATAATAAATTTGTGATGTAATTTGTAACATCAGCAATAGGAAACTAATACTGTAACTTTTATAGAAAAATGGGTGAAGGATCTGAAAGACAGTTTACAGAAGAAGTACAAAAGGCTGGTGAAGAGATGTGCAAACTCACTTCTTGTCCAAGAGATGCAGAGTGACATGGCTTGTACCCTTCCCATGGCTGAGACCAGCAGGAGCGGGTGATGAATTTGCACCCGGCATTGGGAGCAGATGCAGAAAGTGCACGTGCCGCTGTCCAGAGGGGGTGGCCTGGCATGTCTTCTCCGGAGCCTGGGACTGGGGAGTCCATGGGGCGTGTGACCTGGTGTGCTGTCCTGCATCTCTGTGGTGACAAAATCTCCACAGGTTCCTGGAGACAGATGTACACAGCATCTCCTTGTGCTCTGTGGGTGTCGGGGTGGGAGGTAACCTCAGTGCCCTTGCCTATAAGAGTGAAAATATGGCTGTGGCAGAAGTCAAATGCCATGGACTGGATGTGCCAATGGCCCTTAAAGGCAGGGCTGGCGTTACTGTTGGAGGGTGTCCAGGTTCTTGGCGTTTTGAAAAAATAATTAGACAAAACACACAAACAAAGCAAGGAAAAAATCAGTGACAGCAGAGATTTACTGAAAACGAGAGCACAGTCCACAGGGTGGGAGCAGCCCGAGCAAGCAGCTCACAGGCCCCAGTGACAGAATTTTCTGGGGTTTCAATACCCTCTGCAGGTTTCTGTTGGTTGCTTGGTGTACACCCCCGTGTGAATGGAGAGGGTGTTCCTGTCCTGGCTGAAGTGTTTGCATTGATTTAGTTCTAGGAAGACCTTAGGTTTCTTCCCTGCAGGCCCTGTTCTCCTGCCTCACTGGGTTAAAAAGCTAAGAAACATGAGTGGTGTTAAAACCATTCTGCCTGTGTGAGTACAGATGCATGCATAGGAAATTAAATACACATATACTTGGCAAGAGCATATGTGAGTAAGAGTCAGGCACTCGGTGTTTTAGAATGGGCTCCTGCGTGGTGGCAGTGGCAAGTGGTGGTGATAAGGGCTGGTGAGAATGAAAAGGAGTCAATGATACGGTGCAGGAGCCGCTCCCAGGAAGCAGTGGTGCCGACGTGTCATAAACTGTAGGATGAACTCCGCATCTCAGCCTCTGTGCATGAGGCTAGGAAGAGAAAAGATTTCCAAAAAGGTAAGGGTGGAGAAAAAAAAAAAAAAGCAAAGAAACACAAAGAGCAGCATCCTTTTGAAGTTGGGCCTGGGAGAGAGATGTAAGGGGTGGGATGAGGCCTCCCCGTTTCACAGCTCAGGAACCTGGGCCCTGAGAGGCTGAGCGGTTTGTTCCATGCAAGGGCCAGTCTGGACTTGCAGGCTCAAATACGACTCCTCATGCCCTGCAGTGTGTGTCAGCTACCACAGATGCTTTTTTAAAATTTATTTTTTTTTATTTTTAGTTGTGGTAAAATGTACCTAACATAGAA